ATGCTTTCTTTTATGGTCAACACTGTAGATTGTTGAAGATTTACCATATTTGTTTGTATTTACTGAGATGCTTCAGTGAACAACTTTCATAAGAGAATGATGGTAACAGTAAGCTGTAAACAGTAAACAATTATACTACAAAAAATCTAATAGAATCTATTATAATACATGTACAATTAAAATCTTCACAAACATTTGTGTAAGAAATTAGAACTTTGCTGTTCGCCCTTTCAGTTTTGTAAATTCAGAAACAAGTTCTTTAAGACAAAGTTTTCCAGCTATTTCATGTTCTATCGACACGGTGACCAGTCCAACAAGTCTCTCTTGCAGCATAGAAGAATGAAGGGATGTCTTTATCAATTTTAACTTTGAGAACCTACGCTCCCCACTAGCAACTAGGAGAGTCAAGAGAACGCGGAAAGCAGTGAAGATGTTGGGAAAACTGTTAGTTTATATTCAGAAATAAACTTCAGTACATGTTGAGATTATCCACATCTGTATATTTTGCCACATCTACAAAATGAATGATGATTGTCGTCTGCTGAATATGACTCACATCTTGTGTACAGTCCTGAATTATTAAAAAGTATTTTGCAGAATGGGCAGCTTCTACGATTTTCTCTTTAACAGCATTTGCTAGGAGTTGAATCAGTTTATTCTGTAGCCTTCTGTCATGGTACTGGGTCCCCAGGGACGGCCGTAATACCCCTAGGGATTCTTGACCATGCCAATCCTACCCAATGGGCACCCTCTTTCTCACCTGCCACATCTTGTTGGTAATTATCTTGAATAGGGAGGCTGCCCTCGAGTTTACATTGGGCACGGTCCTGATGGACCCCGCTGACCTCTGGGTTCTTGAACCCTTTTTGGGTCTTGCACAAAAATGGTTGCCTTGGAGCACCTTCAGCCTTATGGGCTAGATGCGTAACTCCAAAACTGCCCCTTTACCGTGCCCCAAGCCTTGCAGATGGTATTCACCACTTGTCTCTCTGCATGCCCCCTGGCGCTGGGCTCTCCTCAGCCCTGTCTCTGCGCCCCCTGGTGCTGGGGCCTGTTCACCCCCTTCAGCTCTGCGCCCCTGGCGCTGGGGTCTGCTCACCCCCTACGTCTCTGCACCCCCTGGCACTGGGGTCTGCTCACCCCTTTGTCTCTGTGCCCTCACCACTGGGTTCTGCTCACCCTCTTCATCTCTGCACCTCCCTGGCACTGAGGTCCCCACACTGTAGGGGGCCCCCAATGAGGCCTCCTCCTTCCCTAATAGCCTCAGCCTGATCCACCAGTGTTTATAGAAACAACAACCAAAAATATGAGCCCCTGGGCTATAACATAACACAAGAAGTTCAGAGTGTGCTCTGCCCTTTTAAAAGAATCAAACTTCTTCCCCGGCACTAAGTGCCCTGTAGGCAAGGGTACCTGGTGAGTTCTTGGAGCCCCATTAGCCCTAAGTGCAGTGTCCCTGGGCAATTCCTCCCTGGAGGCTCCTTCCCCTTTGGCTGCTGGCAGGGAACTGACCCTCTAGTCCCAGCCCTGGGGTTTATATGTGCCCAGCGCCCTACATCTTCTGGTCAGTTGTCTGGCTGCAGGTGCAGGCTAATTCCCTCCTTATGCCTGCTGCCACAATATCCTGCATCTGTGGGGGTTCCTGCCTGACTGCTAGTGCCCTCTCTGTAGGCAGTTTCTGCCCTTAAAGGAGCAGGCGCCTTAGTGCCCTGCAACACCTTCTCCCAAGGTAATGAACATGGGTTTCAAGGTCACTTTTTTTACGCAGATGCTCCTTCATGACTGGATCAAACAAAGCTAAGTATTCAATAAATTTTAAGAAGTTTCCATTACCAGCACTGTATAATTTTTCATTTGTCCCACAGAATGCCCAGTTTTGCCCACCAGGAACTCTCACTAAAGCAATCAGTCATTCCAATATTTACTGCCAGTATTCTTCCTCTCACTTGATCCCATGTAAATTTTCTTCATCAATAGTTTTCTGTTTTTTCAATCGCAGTTCAGGTTTTTTCCAGATTTGGAAACTTTTCAAATGTTCACAACTTTTTTCATGAGAAAAGAGAATTGCAGATATGTTTTTCCAGTCCTTTGAACCGTTTTCAGTAAGTGATGATGCACCAGTTGCTTTACTGCTAAGCAACTTGCAGCAGAAGCAAAACACTTGAGTCTTTTGACACTGAATATTGTAGCCACTGTCAATACTTTTCTTCCCCATTGGTAAGTAACCTCTTGCAATGATGCAAATATGGATCTTTTATTTCCATATTTAGGGAAGTGAAATTCCTGAACTTGTTCAGGTCCATGTTCCACCATTATTTGTCGCACAGGGTCATCACATCTAGGCCATGTAGCAGGGTCACCGTACTGTAACTTGTTTGCACCTTCTTCATCTTTCACATATGTACCTTCTGCTCGCTTATTATCTTTATCTACCTCAACTTCAGCATGTGTGTCTGTAGGCGAATATATTTTCTTGATTTCAATGTCAGTTTGATGCTGTGAGCTGCCTTCATCTTGAAGTAAGCTGCCTTCATCTTCATGTCAGCTTCCTTCATCTTGATGTTGTGAACTGCTTCCATCTTGATGTGGGTGAAATGGAAGTTATTTCAGAATGGAACCCTTTTGCTTTGCTTGTTCTTTTTCCTGTTCAGCTTTTTGTTTATGATACTAAGCTCCAGACAGGTTTTTTCCATCTGCCATGGTACCATTCCCCTGAAACAGTTTTAAACTGTTTTAAATAAATTATCAATATAGAGAACAGTCAATCTAAGCAGGAGCAATACATAGGGGCAACGCCATGAGCACGGGCAATGCCCTGAGTGTGCTGGTGCACCCCCTACAAAAAGGCATTGCCAACATTGTCAGTGGTGCCTGTGGCCAGTGACCCCTCTCCCCCCACTGCTGACACTGCTGGTGAGGTCTACAGGCAGTCAGCGCTCCCTCCGTCATGCTTCTGCCACTGCCATGGCCCCCCAGCTGCCAGGGGCACATGACATTCATGAATCTAAGTACAATTTCAAAGAAAATTCTGACTGTGATGACATTAATAATGTGGACAATTGATTAAATTATCATGGAAGAAATATGGTTAAGCACTGCCTGAAGTGCCTTAACGGGCAAACTGCCCCTGCAGTCAGGAAGGTATTTGTTAGGATGTATGACTAAGAGTGTAAACATGGCAACTGGTTATCTAGTGCTGGTCAAGACTGCGTGATCAAGCAGATGTTTTCCCATTGCCTTAGCATGGTCCTCTGTAAAGTAAATTGTCATTGTCCATTGAGTAGTTATGTTTACTTATCTCACATATCCCGTCAGATTTCTGGGTCAACCAACCTTACATGTTCTGTACACACAGTCATACAGCTGTTTCCTTACACAACAACAATACAGACATTATATAATGAACTAATTAAAGAATCTCTCTTGAGCTTGCTAGCAATTAATTAGCACTCATTCTGCATTAACACACATATTCTAAATGCCTACGTATATCTCACATGAGTATCCAAAAATAATATGTACATAAATGCTTACCCCTAGCTCGACTTACTTTAAAAAATCACATACGTTCTTATATGAATTAAATGTAACGATTCAGCAATCATACTCTGACCATTTCTAGACATTATAAAATTAAGAATATTAAACATGACCACTCAGGTGTACCTATGATAATAACTACATTGAGATCTGCGTTGAAATCTACAAAATCAAACCAAGAAATTCCTACCTTGAAGCCTGTTTCCTGAATTATGGGCACAATTCATATCTGTACCCGGAGTTGGTGTATTTTGGTCATCTTACTCTGGATGAAATCTTAAATGCATCTGATGAAATCTAGGCTGCTTTAGATTTTAAAAAGAGTGGTTGGAAGGGAGAAGGAAGGTGTAAGAAAGTAGTTTCACAAGCTGTAAGATGATATAGGAGATGGGGTTCATTTTTTAGGATGACAATGCCAGTGGTATGCTCTTGTCATAAGTCCACTTGAGAGTTGAAAAGGTAGGAGTTGCGATTCTAGTGAACTTTCCTCTGAGATCTTTTCAGAGGTCTTTCTCCCCTTACCGAACCAAAGTTCTTAGACCAAGGTGGTGCCATAGCTAGCCAGGGCTGTTATTTAGAATGATGTTCCTGTTATTTTGTTCTGTGTATACTTTTGACACCCGCCTCCCCAAATTTTGGTGCCCTAGGTGACTACCTAGTTCACCTAATGTTTGTACCAGCCCTGCATACACCGGTATTAGGTTGCAGTAGATTAACTCTTCTGTAAGATAGTACTGTTGGGGATAGTACTGTCTTATAATGGAGACCTCTGGCCCTTGCCAGCCCCTCCACCGCCTGACACCACCACCCAGAGCCTGGGGCTGACCCCCCATACCTCCTGCCAGCTCAGAACTGCTGCACCCCAGCTCTAATTGCTGTGGTCCCAGGCACACTTGTAGACACTGTGCCCAGGAGCAGTTAACTCTGGCAGAAACTGTGCCTAAGTTTATTGTGTTGCCTTAACAGCATGTGTAGATGCACCCACTGAGACTGAACCACATTTTCCAGTAGAAAGACATATTTTTAAGAGCATAAGCAGCTTTAGAACACTGTTAACCTCTTTAATGATCCAAAATACCAAACTGACTGGTTCTTTCATGTAATCGTGTTTTTAGACCACATTAGGGACTTCAGCCCTGCATTTGCAATGAATACCGCAAGGCCTTTGAACAGTGAGAGAGTGCACTACAGATTTGAATTCTGAATCTATGATTCTCTTTCTACTCCAGAGCCTACCATCTTCAAAATTGTTCAGCCTCATTTATAGCCTGCTTATATGGCTGCATGTAGTTTATAGTACTTTACACCTTTTGTTTACAACTCATTATTTTTAATATCAAACAGGGTTAAGAATCTGGCCTCATTTATACCATGGCTGCTAATTATAATGAATCTATTCATTGTTACTTCTTGACCTCTTATTGTACTTTTTGACCAGGTGTTTTTTTTTTCATACACAGGTGCAATCAAAATGGAGCCTCCTTCTCCACCTTATTTTTCAGAAAAAGTCCAGTTGTACAATAAACCTCATGAAGAATCTTCTAATTCCCTTATGACTATAGAATGTAGAGTGTGTGGAGACAAGGCTTCTGGGTTTCATTATGGTGTACATGCATGTGAAGGCTGTAAGGTAGGTGGTCATATGGGTGTCCTCTCTGTTATGAGAACTTGCTACTATTACCAAGTGAAGAATCACTCATGAAAAAAAGAATCTGAGAGAATACTGTCAAGTTAAATGCAATTTGTTTAAAATATTTTTCTGTTACAGACACATTCTATACTTAAAATTATTTTTTTTAATAATTTTCTTTTTATTATTTATGCTAGATTTATTTTCAGTTTAGTCAATTACAAGAAAAGGTTATCTAATCAGGATTATCCCATTACTACATTAAAAAGTAGATTTGAGTTAAAGGAAGGTTAGTGCCCAATTCCAGTTTTTAGTCCAACCTTAGGTAATTGCATGTTCAGTTTTTATAATTCTGATTTGGTAGCATTCTGCACTTGCTTTGCCCAGATGTAGACAGTTATAGAAAGTCTCAAGATATTAGAGAGTGACTTAAAAAACTACAAAGACAGCTTATCTTCAGTAATAGGTGATTGATGCCAGGGTCATCAAGAAAGTATAAATAAAATGATAATATTTGCTTCTTGTAGCTTGTTGAGTCACTAGTAAAGAAGGTAAATCAACATTCAGTATTTTAAAGCACCTGAAATGAAATTCATCATGTCCTGTGAAAGATGCATAATGGGATAGACCTAATTTAATGTTGAACAAAAGCATGAAAGTCAAAATTGCAAACAAAAAAATTATCTAAAGAATAGTATGTGTATTGTTGATTACTTAAGGTCACAATGAATTATATAAATGGAAGTCAGCACCATGCTTATAACTTAGGTATGAGAAAAACTAGTTGTAACAAGTAATGATTTCTAATAAACTTGGATATGCCTTATTAATATAAACTGTGCATGAATAATCGTAAGATTACAATCATATGGGGGTTATTCAAGAACAGTCCTAATTTCGCTTTACAAATCTAATCCAACAAGAGCAATAATCCGTTTAGAAACACATTGCTTCTGAAATGTGCTGTTGCTCACTGGCTATTATTTATGCTGTTGATAGTTGGCTGGAAGAGCTGTATTTTTATGCAGAATTCATAACTGGTACTAAATTCTAAACCATCACATAAGCAGAAATATTTTTGTTATGTTGTTAGATTCTATTTCTATAAAATTTGAAGTAATAAAAGAATGTTGCAAAAAGACAAGATTTTGAATTTCCATGATAATCAATAACAATGTATCTCTTTATAGGCCTACATTGCTCTGTTCAGTAGTTACCCTGTGCACGTAGTTTAGAATTTTTCATGTGCTCTTGTACTTTGCACACCAGTAAGTTCCAAACAACAAAAACAAATTGAATGCTCCGAATAAATAATCATCCTAGGAATTAGATTCCAGAAATACCTATTTAAAAAAAGGTTAGCCCTAAGAACCCCCAGGTAAACAGTATAGGTGGAAGAAAATGAATCTTTTAAAAGGGAAAAACAAAAAGATATGCAAGAAAGTAAAGAAACACAGTAAAAAAAGGAAAGAAACATATCCCACAGCTAGTGTTAGGATTTGCTTGAAATTTACCATCAAAAGAGGGGGAAGATGGAAAACCTGTTGTATGGTCAATAATAGAAAATTATGACTCATGATGGAGCATGTGTAGCATGTTTTTCATGTAATCACAGATAATTTTATGCTGATTGTTTACCCATGTTTTTATATTTATTGCAGGGTTTCTTTCGAAGAACAATCAGATTAAAGCTGATTTATGACAGATGTGATCTTAATTGTCGCATTCATAAGAAAAGCAGAAATAAATGTCAGTACTGCAGATTCCAGAAGTGCCTTGCAGTTGGCATGTCACATAATGGTAAGTATTAGATTTTCAGCACTTTTTTTACAAGTTATATTTAATCTGTAAAATATAACATACAAGTAATAAATTCTCATTTGTCTTGCGGGGGTACCTATGGACATCAGCCCCATTGTACCAGGTACTGTATAAGCACATAACAACTAGAATGAAGACATGGACCATCTTTGTATTATACAAAAAGCAGAGAGGGAGATCTACGATTACTGCTAATATGAGGCCTGTGTTTTTATATTTCTGTGATTCCTGGGCATAACATATTTAATAAGACACATTTTTTCTAGTACTCATGACTATTGGCATTATTAACTTCTTCTTCTTTCACTGTGGGCATGGACAGATATGCATTTTGAAGAGCTCCAAATCCCAGAGCACTTCAGATTTGACACCATACAGATGTGTGGCCTTGCAGCCACTCCCTCACTGGAGATCTACAAAAAGGCCATGAAGGTATTCAGTGGCACTGCTTTCCAGGCAGGGGACTGAATAGCAGGGACCCCTGCATGCTTCTTGGTCTCTGGGGCTAAGTACAAACAGTCAAAAAACCCAATATGAATGAATTAAATATTTGCAGGTTAGTCTAAGCTGTGTAGATTGAACTGATAAGCAAGTGAACAGACATTCACTTTTGATTCTGGAAATGCAGCCACATGCCTGCAGTGGCTCAGGCCAGAAACCAGGCAGTGCTAGAGCATTCCTCCCTGCTCAGCTGAAGCAGACAGTTTGGGCCAAAGCTAGTCCGCCCACCGTGCAAGTGGAGGGAGGTTTGTGGGGAAGGTACAAAGCATCCTGGGATTCTGGGGGACTGTGAGTAAACTTGAATCTGGAGGGGATCAGGGACAGATTTAGTTCAATAAACCTAAATCTGTTAAATCTGATCCTCTATCCATCCATGTTTATCTTAAATGGGGTTTAGCCATTTTGAAAGTGGTTTATGTGCACTGAACTTCTATCGTGTTACAGATTTGAACTGGTTTCCAGTCACTTACACTGGTTTATGTTTAATTTCTGTCCCTAGCTTGAAGGTTTCCAAAGACAGCTGAGTGCAAAGAGAGCATTCATTGGCTGACTGTCCTGCTCCTCCCACCACTCCCTAAGGGAGGTGGAGTGGGGAACAGAGCACTGTGGAATGCAGAGGACTTCTGGAGCATACAAACATTTTAGGAAGTGCTTCGAAGTTGTTCCTTTTTTATTTTTTTCTGAGGGTCATTTTTGAAGCACTTCAGCCAGCTTTAGGCCATGTCCAGATGAGCAAGGTTGTGTGCTTGCCATGGCACAAATAGAAGCAGCACGAATTTGTGTCACAGTGGGAGCCCCTGTACATGCCCTTTGTTGTGGGCTGTATCCAGTTTCTCCCAGCTCCCAGCTGGACTCCGTGTGCTTCAGAGTGGGAGGTGGGGAAGGAGGGGGCTGACTGGGGCACAGAGTGCCTCAGTGTGGAGATAGCCAGCAGGGAGCAGCATGTGGTGACAGGGGATGTTGCCCGCAGATGGCAAATTAGCAGGGCTGTGCATAGTTTAATGTGCAACAAGTGAGGATTGTAGGGCCACAAAAAGGTTTGTGGGGCCACAAACCATATGTGCCCTGCATGTCTGGATGCACCCTTAAAGTGCTTGTTTGTCCATGAACATCTGTGCCTTCGCTGTTCAGACCACCTCAAGCATATTTGAGCGCTTCAAACAACACAGCTGTCCATGACCTGTATCACTTCCTACCTAAACTGTGCTTTTGCATGTAGGGCCAAATTCAATAATAATCTTGCTAATTACAGCAAGTAGAATGGGGAATGTACCACAAATTATAAATAACCATAACTGGAACTTGCTGCACAAAATGCCTAACTAGGTTGGATGCTAAGAATGGTATAAAAGGATCCCAGCAAAACTTTAGATAGGCATAAATAGTAAATTACTGTCCCATCTCTAATTTTCCCCTTCTTTGCAGGGCACAGAGAAATTAAGTTTCTTTGAACATTAAAGTCAGTTTATGAATTCATGTGAAAATGCTTATTTTGGGACTTTTGAAGGGTGACAAGACAGACAAAAATGAAGATTCTTTACTCTTTCTTTGGCAAAGTCTAATAAAAACAGGAATTAAATGTCATAATGCAGAGACTTATGTAATTCTAAGAGTAAAAAATTGCAAACATGACTGGGAAAATAATTTCTCTGTGGTTTTTTTAGAACTTTAATTATTCTCAGTATAAAAAATGAGTGTACTGTGCCCCAGAGGAAAACTTAACTGTGGTTTGTGAACCTAATACATGCAGTGAATATAAATTGGTATGGGAAATGTTTTCCTAATAGAAAATATGGTTTTTAAGTTCCTGGGATGCAACACTAACTCTTAAAAATAAATCTTAGTATAAAGTACTTCTGTGGGTATTTTTATAGTAATTCAGGGTTTTTTACTATTATTATTTTCAAGGTGTGTGCCAAATTCTCTTGCAGATTAGCATTGTGGTTTACACTCATTTCAGTGTTAACCATGAGCATGCAAGCCAGAATTTTGCAATAATGTGTGAATCAAGCATTTTATTCCTACTTAGTCATATCTTGCCATTATGCTTACCACCATATATTTACATTTCATTAAGGTAGAAGATTAAAAGCTAGAGAAACTGATATGCAAAATTGTACCTTTTAAAATACAGTACCATGCAGTGATGTATATGGAAATGTATCACCAATTTGGAAGATAAAGAGAGGCACTGGGTCAGATTCAAATCTCACAACAGGGTACATTTATGTATCTCCACTGAAGTCAATAAATCATGAATTCTCTTATAAAAATCCCAAAATCCGTTGTTAAAATGAAAGGCCGCCCCACAGCCCCGCCCCCCTCGGCCCTGCTGGTGACCCTCACTCCCCACCCACAGCCCCCTGGCCCTGCTCGTGCCTCTCACTCCCCACCCCTCAGCCCCCACAGCCTTGCTGGTGCCCCTTGCCCCCCACCCACAGCCCCTGCTTCCCCAGCCTTGCCAGAGGAGGCCCCCAACTGCCAAGGCTATGGACCCAGCTCCGCAACCCCTACCCCTGCTCCCGCCTGCTGTGGGCTCAGGTGGGGGAGGAGGAGGGCCTGCTCCCTGCCACCACATGTACTCCCATGGGGCAGGGGGGACCCGCAACCCCCAGATTTGTGCATGAGGCAGGCACAGGCTGCAGGCTTTAGCTCCTGCCCTGCTTCCTTCCCCCAGGGCCTCCACAACCCTGCAGGCATGACCCTGCATGGTTGAGGACAGTGGGGCTGCATGGGGATCTCTTTGCCACTGTGAGCTCCCCTCCTGTTGCCCTGGCAATATGCCTCCTGATCAAGCCTCTGTTTTAAGGGGCGCAGTCCCACGCTGCTTCCCTCACTGCAGCCCCACGTGTAAGAAGCACATCTCCAGGACAGCACAGGGTGAGCAGCAGCGAGGAGCTTCTCCACATGGCTCCAGTGCTCCCTGCCACACTGGGTGCTGCCCGCCGGGCTGCGGAAGCCACAGGGAAGAGAAGTGGGATAGAGCTGGCAGTGGCAAGCAGCTTCTCAATGCTGCTCCCTGCCACCCTGTTCCCCACCCTTGTGGCCTCCGCAAAATCTGCAGTTTCTCTTGTAAAATGAGAAATCTGTGTTTGCCTCTGGTAAAAATGTAAATTTCACAGTTTACTCCATTTTTCTGTGGGAAATGGAAAACCTGGATCCCTGATCATGACATACGGTGCAACCATTTATAAACTGTACTTTGTCAGTTACCCATTGTGTTGTAATTTATCAGTCTACAACTTTAGAAAAAGCCTGGGAATTATAATTCGGTTAATAAAATATGACGTTCACAACATCAAGCCTTCCTTTACAACACTAAAACACAAAACAAGACAAAACTAAAGACCAAGGAACTGCCCTTCTCAAGAAATAGCTTTACTCAAAGTGAAGAGATATCCTGACAAGGGAAAAGAGGACTTCATGAAGTTCACTAGAGATGTTGCATATTGCTAAATTATTTTACCTGGAAGGATTTTGGGTACTATGATGATTTCATAGACATTAGGGCTAGAAGGGACCTCAAAAGATCATCAAGTCCAGCCCCCTGCCCGAGGGGCAGGAAGTCAGCTGGGGTCATAGGATCCCAGCAAGATAAGCATCCAAATTTCTCTTGAAGGCATTCAATGTGGGTGCTTGAACCATCTCCAATGGTAGGCTATTTCAGACCGTGGGGGCTCAGACAGTAAAGAAATTCTTCCTTGTGTCCAGCCTGAAACGGTCTTGCAGGAGTTTATAACCATTCGACCTTGTCATCCCTTGGGGCACTCTGGTGAACAAGCGTTCCCCCAGATCCTGGTGAACACCGGTGATCTCTGGGGGGCCTTATGGGTAGCACGGGCTGCTGGGTATGTAGCCCCTCCCCTCAACTCACCTGCCACATCTTTGATGTTAAGCTATCAAGAGAGAGGATTCAGTGGAGATCTTCTTGGGAGGGCTTCCTGACAATGGCAGTACTCACAATTATGTGGCGCGATGTTCCACGGGGCTCCGCCTCCCCTACACCCCGTCCACTCGCCAACCGGATAGGTGGTGGTGTGTTGGTAGTTACAACCCCGCGGGCTTGCTCACCGCCTGCTTCAGGTGGGGGAACCCACGTCCGAGTGGGCTCAGTCGGCTCTTGTCCTTCCGACCTTGATGCCTCAACCTTCTGTATCTCTTTGATTTTTTTTTCCCTTTTCTTTTTTTTTTGTTTTCTTTAGAAGAAATATTCTACTGGGGAGGAGAAGGACGTGGAGCCGCCTCCTTTTCCCCAGCCTCCTACAGGGGTCTCGAATGCTGCCCCTTCTCTACCTCCTACAGGGAACTCGAATGCTCCCCCTGGTCTGTCTTCTGCAGGGAGCTGCAGTGCTTCCCCTGCTCTGCCTCCTACAGGGGGCTGAAGTGTTTCCCCTGCTCTGCCTCCGGCAGGGGGCTCAAAGATTTCCCCTGTCCCACTCGCCGGTGCTGCTCCAGCTGTGCCGCTCTGCTTCCCTGCA